ATTGCCACCCTTTGATTTGTCTAACATGGTCCCATAAACATGATGTTGCAAGCCTGCGGAGGAACCAATTTCAACATGATTCCCCACCGCCCCAATCCCCTGTCGATTGGTGAGAAAATCTCAACCCAAAAATTGTCTGAGGAATTCTGGTACCCTGGTTTTACCCAAATATACCTTCAATGGGAATTTCAGGATCCTAAAATGGAGGTACTGTACCATATAAGGCCATATTTTGGGGGAATATTCCCTTACATAGGCCTGAAAAAAGGCCTTATATATGGTAGGTACCTCCAATCAATCGGTTCCTGAAATGGCCATTGATTCTCATCAATCTCTATGGATATCACCCATGTGGCAGATCCCGAGGTTCATCTTGGAGAAACGCTTCGATGATTTCAATCAGTTGCATGCAGACCTGAAGGAGATTGAGCCTAGCATGTGCGCCGTGGGTTCGTAGGGGAGCCATGTGGTTTCAGGAGGATCTGTTCTCCTCATCGATGGGACTTTACCCAGAAATTGCTGCTGGTTTAACCAACCTTGATAGGAGGGCGGTGGTTTAGCGAAGGGGATTCACAAGCAGAAGTAAGAACAGACAATCAGTAAATCCTGTGGGCAACATGTTTTGGTGTTGGTGAGGGTTCAAAAATTTAGCGTGTTTGTCCCCAGTAAATCACGAGGACAACTACAAATTAGTTTGATTGCAGCACGAGTCGTGACTGAAGTACCGAAGTGGGGAGAATTTCTGAAAGATTCGCATCATGGGCGGCAGCACCACTGACATGCGCACCTTGCATGATGTGCTATGCAAAATCAGGCCACCACTGCCGGAGAAGAAGTTCATGGCTTCCACAGATGCCAGCGTTCCCCGGCAGTATGAGATGAGAGGGGGAACGGTGAGTTCAAAAGATGACCGGAGATGCACATAGCATTGAGGAAACAATAGTTAGGGACCTGGCTAGATTCTCATTTTTCCCCCATGTTTCAGTTCGTCTCGACATGAAGCTCCATGACATCCCCAACCTTGGATAGCTAGTTTAATCCTTCAATCCTTCAGTTTTTTGCTGGACAGTAACCAACAAGCAAAAGATGTTTTGATGAATTTCACCCGGAAATCCATGGGCTTCGCTTCAGCCCCGATGCAAAGGTGGTGGCCGAACGCAAACCGGCCTTCGAGAAGATCTTGAGATATCTTCTGCGGAGTGATGCAGTCGTCCACGAGCCCCGCGGCACGAAGCAGCGGTTGGGGCGTTTTTTTGGTGCGTCACAAAAGTTCAAAAAACCTGGAGTTTAGCCATAGAAACTGGTGATGGAAGTGATAGATGAGGTGCCTAACTGGTGGTAGACGTGATAGATGATGAGGTGACAGATTGGTGAGTGATGGGTCTTGCAGCGTGATATTTTGTCACGGGGGTTTCCAAATAATTGGGATTAACAGAGAGATACATCCCAAGTAAAATGAGACAACCAATGATACAACCAATAAGATAGAAACAATTTGGGTCTGTGCAAAATGGGGCAGAGCCAAGTAGGATAGGTTTTACCTTACTGCATTAGACTATGAATTAAGGGATATCCTTTAATCGCTAGAAATTTCTCTAGCTGGACTGCGTCAAAGCCTCAAGCTCTCGTGCGTGCAGAGTATCAAGAAAATTGGCCACAAGCATCCCCAACAATGGCCTTACATTTGAAAACCCATGAAGCCGAGGATTTTCGCTAGAAAGGCTTCAGTGGGGTCCAGTGCCAGGATTTTTCCATGCAGTTGATATCCACATATATCCACCATGTTGCTTACGAATTATGGCTAAATGCTATGTTTTCTTCGTGAAATTCTACATCTTCTGGTGTGTGGTTTGCAACATGTTTTCCATATATTGAGAATGTCATAATCCCAACTGACTTTCATATTTTTCAGAGGGGTAGGTGTTGAAACCACCAACCAGATTATTATTAACAATCATTAACCATATATTAACCATATATATATATATATCATATATTAACCATTATTAATCGTATATAAACCATAATATACATCTTACTTGACATTCAGTCCCCATTTTGTTGCCGAAACATCATGGGATCAACCGATCGCCAGGAAAGGCCAAACGCTCTTCAAGTTTCTGGAGCTTCCCACTGCGGCGGTCGTGGCATTTCGTTGCTTGGGCCGACATCGAAATCACTGTGCAGTAAGCTACAGAAATCCTGATATCTATAGATTTGATAGAAAACCTATGTATGTATAGAGGATTTGCAAAATATTCATCAAGAAGATCCTATCCTGGTACCTGGGTTGAATACTTAATCATCATCAACAAAGGGGTTAGCATGTTTGAACCATCATGAAATGGTGATATAGTGATATGCAGCCAACATAATGTTACCCTCTGGTAAACTAACATAGCTATGGAAAATCACCATTTTTAATGGGAAAACTCACTATTAATGGCCATGTTCAATAGCTACGTTAAATTACCAGAGGGTATCTGAAATACCCCCAAGTCATGATGCGACCCAAGACTAAACCAGCATTTTGGGCGTCAGAACAAACCATCCATTGAGGCCAGGCCTCAAAGCATCCAACAAAAAAATGGGTATCCAGCGGTATCTCCCAGCTGTCAATATAGAACCGATGCTGACTAGACTGGCCTTTTTGATACCTATAAAAAATGGAGCTTTACCCATTTAAACCAGAAAAATGCAATGAAGAAATTGGGTCACTTCGTGAAACTTTGGAAGGGATATTACATACCCAGGTTTTACCACTGCGAGGATCATATGTCATCGAAGATTCTGGCTCAGTTGTAACGACCTACGACATCGCAATGAACGATACTTTACTAAGGGAGACCCTGAGAGTCCTCAAAAGCACCATATTTCGGGATGAATCCCTTGCCCTTAATGTTAAATACGCCCTACAAATTCTAGTTTAGTATTGGATCTGTTCATGACTTGGGGTCCCAAACATTGAGGGTATGTGCACTCATACCCAACTTATATCTAATTATAATATATTATAATCAACTATCCAAAAAAATACATACCCGCTACTATGATATTCCATGATACTCCTTTAATTCATTTGTTTGTCCATTCATTATTTCATTTCATTTCATTCCATCCATTCATCCATTGCATCAATCCATCCATCCGTTCATGCAGCGGTTCAAGTAATTTCATTCCATTCAATCATGTCATTTCCTAAATGAAAGTGACTCATACTATGCAAATCACCAAAGGCCACTTGCTTACGGTGCACCCAGAACATATATAGTTGCTCTATGGTACTAATGGTACTTTCATGGTACTTTCCATAGCTAGTGACCATACCATAAACCATCCCCGATAGGCGCGTGCTTTCCATGGCGACTTTCCATTCGAGACGTCGAGGCTATCTCTTCAAGACACAGCGAATCAGCTCGGCGCGACAATGTGGAAAGTTGACGGATCCCAAACTCGAGAAGGACAGGTGGATTGGAAAACCGGCCCTCGGATAAACCTACAAAAAGCTATGGAAAAAAAACATTTCTAGTAGGTCAAGCAACTATCAGCAACTATCAATTGGCCATTTTCAATAGGCTATATTAAAGTGCCGGAGGGTAATGGGATTTGGGAGCTTAATCGGATGTCAATGGGAGTATGATATCATATAACGGTGAAGAAAAAACACCATACCTGGGTTTGATATGCTCGACTTGCCGGCATCGGATGATCCAATTTCGTGCCATTCAATCTGGGGGAAAATGCGGTTTCGATGGAGAATTTGGGGATGTTCGAACATTTGCAGACAAAGCCATCTGTTTTGTCATGTCAACTTCTTTCCTCATGTTACAACCATCATAATCCCATCATAATCCCATCCCCCTTGGATCCATTACCCCGTAAACGATTTAGACCTGGTGGAATCATCGGATCTATAAAAATCCATGACGTGCCCTTGATGCGATGGTGCTATGAATCATATGATTGGGGAAAAAGGAATAACCAGTGAATCAGTCAATGTTATCCATGAAATATGGAAGAAAACGATTCGGATTATCCACTAAAAAAATGTGTCATCAATCATCCATCATGAACCAATGTACTCACCATATTATTTGGTAAAAACCTCTGATGAATGATGGATAATTGATGATATGTCCATCTGGATATGTCACCAATCAGTCCAATCACTGTGGATATTATATACTTATATATACTTAAATCACCACAAATATTGTATTGACCATTGTATTCAAATTTGCTGCTAGTTAGTATTAGATTCTAATATTCGCAATATTACTGTAGTATAAGTTACCCATTTATTAAGATTATAGTTTCAATATCGAAAAACACTTCAAACAACAGCATTAAAACAGGGCCTCCACAACGTCCCACCTTATCGTTTAACAAAAAGAATTCACCATGATATTCACAATATTGTATTTTGAATAAATAGCCATTTATTGATATTCAAATTTAGCACAATGTATATGAATCAGCATGATATTCGCCATGTTGTTTCACCAATATATGACTCACCATGAAATATTGACAAAAAAGATAGTGAATTATATTAACGTTATATATATATTCACCATTGAGCATGATATTCACCATTATCATGAATAGTTTTATCATCACATACCGTAAGCTAAGCCACAGCATCAGCATCATATATGATCCTTACATCATAAACAGTTATGGAATTTAATATATATATATATATTCAAATGTCAGCATTAGATTCACCATTATCATAAATAGCCATCAATATCATCATCATCATCATCATCATCATGATCATGATCATGATCATCATCATCATCCTCATCCTCATCCTCATCCTTATCCTCGTCATCATCCTCATCATCCTCATCATCATCATCCTCATCATCATCATCATCATCCTCATCATCATCACCATCATCATCATCATCATCATGGCTCAAGCGCCCGAAAAGTCTTGGAAGCTCCCGAAAACCAACCTCTAGTCCGACAGTTCTCAAATTCGACTTTCTCTGATGTCTGGCGAACGACGGAAGTTGTTCAATGATTTCATCAATTTCTCCACGAAGAGAGGGGAAACGCTCTTGGAATCTTATAAGAACAGCACAGAAGAGCAAGACAAGAAGGTTCTCAGTTTACTCGGCGCACAACAGATCTCGGAGGAGCTTCAGAATGCTCTGGAGAATCCAAAGACTCACGAATTCGCTGTCTCCAGACCCGGTCAATCCAAGAAGGTTATGGCAGGCTTCGTTAGGTCGGAAAACAGCTTGGATGTGACGATGGTCAGCACTGCAACCTTTCAAGCAGCTCTGCTTATCACTGAGTTACAGAACAAGGCCAGCCTCCTTGATCGACTAGCGAAGTCAGCTATGTCAAAGAGAGTCGAAATATTGTAACCCACTATTGCTCTATGATACGATTCAGCCATGGTGAATGCCCATCTGCTGCTGAAAAACAGGAGGCTTACCGCCTTGGTCATCCTGCAGTGGTAAAGACCTGCCTCCGACTACTGGAAGAAGGCGGCCGAAGGGTGAAAAAATTGTGGGAAATTCATCGCAAAATGGTAGATTCATGTGCTTTTTACATGGTTTCTATATGGTTTTTAATTTTTGATGTGGTTTTATATGGTGCTTTATATGGTGCTTTATATGGTTTTTTTATGCTTTTAATATGGTCTATATTATATATACATACGTATATATGTATGTATATACATATACACATATATATATATTTATTTATTTATTTTTATTTATATTTATATTTATATTTAAATGGTTTTTATATGTTATCATCTAAAAGTTGTAGTTTGATATGGTTTAGAATGGGCAAATTATGGGAGAATCTTACAATAAGCGAGGGACAAGTGGTCAGGAACCCCTGTTGTGCATCACGGGACCGATCTCCTTCTGGTTACCTTCTCCTTTGTTTTATTGTTTGCTCCTTTGTTTCGGTGGGTTTGGGGTCCACCTACACAATTCCATTCGGTCCCATTTTATAGGTGATGGTCAGTAGCTTTTCCCGCTACAGTTTTTCCTGTTCTTTCCATTTTATCCTTTTCATTGTGTTTCTCCACCTGGCTGGCAGAAAGCTGCTGCGGACGTGTACGTGTAGTTCGTCTAGTCTTGAAATGCACATCGCTAATAAAACATGTAGATATTTATTTTTTGTTTATTTATATATGTATGTATGTACTGTGTATATATATACATATGGGAAAAAACTTGGTACTAAATGATGGATTTTCCACCAAGCCATGTTGGATTACCGGAGGGTTTAAACGGGGATTGTAATAGAGTTTTGTGGATTTATGGGGACAAGTGGGGATTCTATACGGGGTTTCTACTCAAGGGGAAGTCTGCTATATTTGAATGGGAAATTACTACTGCACCAGCATGTGTAACTGGGTTAAGAGTTTTTTAACCATCAAAATTTGATGGGTTGATGGGATATAATTGATGCAATTGATGGATCATACTTGATGATTGCTTCGGGGGTTCTACTACCGTTGATGTATTGAGATTCAGTGGGTATGGAGGTATCAATTCTCACTGGTGGGCCCAGAAAGTAGTTGATTGTTTTAGGTCTTGCGCCATAGCCAAACGAAGAGATGATGAAGATGGAATAGGGATAATGCTCAAAAGAGGGATTATAGAATCAGCACAACGAGGCAAAGAAGCGACCCTCTGGTTGGAGAAACCTGGTTTAACCTAAGCTTTAGGAACCAATCCGGAATCTCCAGCATGATGATAGAAATTTCTGTGAATGTTCAAAAAGGCCACCTGCAAACGTTTCAAGGGAATTGCAGCTCTCGAATTCCAATAGATGCTGAGCGTAAGTCTTTTGTAGCTGTACTTTCTTTGTCCATTTGGCATCCATTTGGTAGTTTCTGCTGCCCCAATTGCCAGGCGCGTTGAAAGATCCAGAGCAGGAGGCTGGGCGGCTTAACAACCGCTTAACAACCGCCTTGCTCGCTGGAATTTTTGTTCCTGGTAATTTGGCACAGCTATGGAAAATCACACCATGTTTAATAAGTAATTCATCAAACTAAATGCACCATCCTATGATAGAAAACTATGTAGCAAATTTCTAGAGGCTTAATCCAGTGATATCTCCATTTTAATGTCTGGGTCCCCAAAGCTGGCCTACACCGCAGGCGAAAGCGGACGCTGCAGCCTTTGCGGCCGCAGTGGGAGAAGCTGAAACCGCCGTGGTGGTGACTTGGCTGAAGCTGGATGAATTTCTGTTTGACCATGCGGTATACCCCAAAATGATTATATGGGTATGGATCAATACCTATTAATACCATTTTTAGGGGGATGAACATCCATTTACCAGCTATTTTGATGTGAACTACAGGGGTACAAGGTTTTGACACACTGCCATATGAAAGAATTTGATAACCCCACATGTCAACTTTTTCTAAGTACCAAGCAGATGTGACATGAGATGGGATGGGAAAGGCAGGAAAGATGAAGGACAAGGTGGAAGACAGATTGCGTGAAAGAGCTGTGAGCGACGGAGTTGTCGGTGACAGAGTTGTGTGTAAAAGAGTTGTATGTGACAGAGTTGGGTGTGAAAGATGTGTGGTGAGAAAGAAATATGTGTGAAAGAGTTGTGTGCGACAGAGGTGCGTATGTGTGTGTGTGTGACAGAGTTGTCTACGACAGGGGCGTGTGTGACAGAGTTGTTTGTGACAATGTTTTGTGTGACAATGTTGTATGTAAGTTGTGCGACACTGTCTTGTGTGGAGTCGCTGTATGTGAAAACGCTGTGTGTGTGAAAGAGTTGTGTGTGTGTGACCATGTTGTGTGTGAAAGATCTGTGTGTGTGTGAAAGTGTCGTGTGTGTGTGTGTGCGTATGTGAAAGTGTTGTGTGTGTGTGCGTGAAAGAGCTGTGTGTGACAAAGTTGTGTCTGAAAGAGTTGTTTGTGAAAGCGGAGGAGGCGGCGGAGGCGGCGGAGGAGAAGCGGAAGGGAGTGCACAACAGAAAAGCAAAACTCACACAAAGATGTGGGGAAGTACTGGCTAAAGTGATGATAAACCACTGGATTTTGGGGTACAGCGGAACCCTTTGGTATACTAGGAATATAGTGGGGTACCTTTGGTGAATTACTAGGGATTTAATGGGATATGGGATATAATGTAACTTGAATGACCAAGAATATTTCATTTGGTTCATATGATGGGAAATCCCTGTAGCCTAGCCATGGAGGTTTAGTTCGCTGGGAAAATCATCGAACTAAATGGCGATTTAACCACCGAAATGGTGATATAATAGGGAGATATAATAATATAATAGGGGTATAATGAAGATATAATGGACTAATGTGGGACTAATGGAACGTAACATTGGAATTCGGCATACTGAAAAAGGCTTGCCCGTTTTCATTTACTAACCAATACGGTGTAATGGCGGGTTCTAATTTGGTTTGTAATAGGATATATGACCAACTTGATACGCTAAATGGGGTTTAACCATGTTTAACCTATCATATAGGGGGAAGTTGTGGGATATAGTTGATGAATATGTGATGTACCCAGCTTTGCAACCCAACAGTAAAGGTTCCAGGTCCCAGGGTTCCACTGCGCTTCCATTGCGATTTTGAGCGGTTTACATCCAACCCCACAGTCAGAGCCAGAGATTGAAACCCAGGGCTCCACTGGGAAGAATCGTCCAAGTAATGAGGCAACTGGAACCTGTACTCTCTGGTAAACTAACATAATTATGGAAAAACACCATTTTCAATGGCTAAATCCACTATTTCGACTGGGCCATTTTCAATAGCAAACTGTAAACGTTTACCAGGCCGGGTAACATCTGGCGCTTGGAGCTGAGGAGATGCTCCGTTTCGCCCTAGCGTCGGGGAACGAAGCAACGCGGCAGTTTCTTGGCCGATCGCAGACTTGAAGTTTGCAGATGTCACATTGAGGAAATTCGGGTCCTGACTTGGATGTTTCGATCAGATGAACCCAGCTATGTGGGATATAGCTTCCGCTAGTCAAACATGGCAATGGAAAATCTCCCATTCACGGATGATTTTCCCAACACAACACTTCCATTTGGGAATTTTCCAGCCACGTAGTTGACTACCAGAGGGTACCCAACTGGCCGAGGTTTTTCTTGCAAGAAAAGGGCCTTGGAGTCCTGCTGCGCTATATCTTTCGAAAAGGCAAGAAGGAGCCAAAAGGGCACCAGGCAATGGACTCAGAGGCTGTCTCGAATTTGGTGTGTTATTAGATATATACCTAATAAACCTAATAAAAGACCCTCAGACCAAGACCAGCAAAAAGTCTGCGGGAAAACCATTGAAAACTGTCACAACATGAGCTAGGAACTATCATCATTCACTATTAATATGATTTACGATTATTTGCATGATTTTCATCATAATAGGCATTGTTATCATGGACATGATAGACATGGCCAAGGAAATTGACGGCCAGGAGCCAGGAACTGGCCCTGACCAGCGCGCGCGAGGCCTCTGAAAAACTGCAGGATGACTTTCTGGCACTTTATGAAACTTGACCAAAGGACGAATAGATCTACAAAGAACTATGATACTTGATGATATTTTAGGATATTTTGTGATATTCTAGGATACTGTACGATACTTTGTTATATTCTGTGATACTTTTTGATCTCATTTGTGTTGCATTTTGTAGGTTCACCAGTTGCTACGACGACGCGTTGAGAGGTGTGCTGAATGCGCTGATCAAGGTGGAGGCGGAGCACTTTCCTGCAGTGATGGCGGAATTCCTTCAAAAAGGAGGCCAGGAGACCGTGGTGATGCCATGAGATTGGAATGATGGAATGATTTATGCTAGGTATATCCAGGTATAGCTGACTGAGCTATTTGTTACACCTGAGTGATGGGTTCATATAGGGACTTCCTTCTATGTGGCTGCCATGAAAAATGGAGATATCACATGATGTCCCAGCTCAGTCGCTGGCGGAGGCATCTTAGACTTTCAAGAAGGACTGGACCTACTGCAATGTTCAGGCTCTGAGCGCATGAAGGGTTCAAGTTCAGATACAGTGTGCTGTGATTTCTGTTCTGAACTTTACATCCCCAATAGATCCGCATTATCCTTGGTTTCATCTCAATTTATTAGCGGGTCACCAACAGATGCTCTGCATCAGCTGAGAGAGACGTTTTCTTGCCACCTTTGTTTCTTGGATGATTATCCCAAGTGACCATGTTTCGTCATTTTTGTTGAGAATCAATTGAGTGAGACCAAAAATTGGAGAGGATCTGGTTGGTGGTTTGGAACATTTTTTATTTTTCCGTATATTGGGAATAATAATACCAACCGCCAACCAGGGATATGTCAAAAAGCCATTTTATCTTTTCTGTTTAAAACATCTCACTTTTAAAACATCTCACTGGTGCTTTTGTCTGGGGTTCCATGATCCAATTCATAACTAACACAATCGTCCTATTCCCTAGCTGCAAGTCATCCTGTTCCTATATTACTATATTATACCATATTGCATCAAAATATAGTAGATGAATGTAGATGATATTACCATAGATAGATGATATTACCATTCATATATAATATAATATAATATAATATAATATAATATAATCAATATAATATAATATAATCAATATAACATAATATAATAAAATATAATATAATATAATATAATATATATATACATATATATATATAGATATCCATGTATAGTGTGTTATATATTTCCATCTACAACTGGAGTGTCTCATCTGGCAGGTTTCGCAGACTTCATCTCGAAGCTTCTGTGGATCGCCTGGGATATTCAGGCCGAGCGGGTGCTGGATCGGCAACCACGGAAAATTTCATTGGTGAAAAAAAAAGTACAGACCATACAAGATTGTGCCCCCCAGTTATAAGTTGGTTTATAAACCCCATTAACTATAGTTATATCTGCCATAAACCATAGTTATGGGAGTTATAAACCAACTTAGCTAACTATGGGGCACCACCTTGTAGAAATAGCTGGTGAATGCATGGTTGTTCCCCAAATTATGGTTGTAATAATGCCATACCCTCTGGTATTTGTTACAGTTTGCCATGAAATGGCGGAAATAGTTGATTTACCGAACTTAAAGATGGCGATTTTCCAGTTCGCTATGTTAAATTACCAGAAGGTAGGTATAACCATTATAAACCATTAATGGGATTAAGATCTTGGAGCTGACAAAAATGGGAACTGTGGTATCTTCGATTTTTCTTTGCGAAGAAGTGACGCACATTAAGCGAAGACCTACATGGGCATTGCGACCATGCCTGCCATCCTAAAGGCCACCAATTCCGTCATCTGGAGACAGCTCAAGCAGTGGAAAAAAAATGGTTACTGGTTGTTGGTGAAGGGTCAAGATCTTCCTTTTGGGCTGATAATTCGCATGACTTTCTTGATGCTTAGGTCCCCATTGACTAAAAAACCCCAATTCTGGTAATATAGCTAGATTTAGCTAGATTGATTCTAATTTTTTCCTCCCTTGAGAAGAGAAAACCATTCAATGGTCAAACTCCTAATGTCCCCATGGATGCTTCACCAGTCATCAATCTGGAGAAGCCCCCATTGCAGCAAGATCATCTTTTCGAATGTTCCAAGGATAAAGGGGTCCAGATTGAAGTCGGATTGATCCAATGATGGTGAATCCTTCAGGTTTCTTTGATTTTATATCAGTGTTTCTCATATTTTTTTATGGTTACCCTCTGTTTATTTAACATAACTATGGAAAATCCCCATTTTCAAAAGGTAACTCATGATAAATCATCTATAAATGGGTACTTTTGCATAGCTATGTTTAATAACCAGAGGATAAAGATCCATTTGTTTGGGGCCCCCAAAAGCATCACCAACTTCGGGAAAAAAAAACACAGAAAAGGGTCGTTTTGAGGTGCAGCAAGTCTTCTTCGCAGAAGCCCATCGTCTGGAGGCAGGATCATCCCATTTTTTATGGCCGCGAGTGCATTTAATGGGGCCAAGCATGAAAACGATGTTATTCTGCCAGAATTATCTGTACCATCCATATCTGTATCATCTATCAGAAATATAGGTTATAAGGCATTCAAATCTGATCGTCTGGGATTTGTGAAATTGCGTCAGACGTTTCGGGGGATCATCTCAAAAAATCTTGCTTTCCAGGAAACGACAATGCTGCTTTTTCAGATGGGGCTTAAAAAAGATGCATGCATATTTCATGGGAAATATCATTAATGATGATTGAGATATGGTGAAAAAAGTACGATTCTGATGGCACCTGGTGGTGTCTAATATCCAATATGTTCCATGCTAATGGGATGCAGAGTTGGCCCAAATTCTGTTGCACTTCGTGTTAGATGTCTGATGTGAGCCATGGTGTGTTGGTTCATGGGTATTCCCACAATGGATTGTGGCAATGCTAATCCGCAAACACTTTGGGTAGGCTCACCTCCCAAACTTATTCTCAATGAACTGGTGGTCTTTAAAAGTGCTCATGTGAATCATGCAAATTTGAAAATCAGTGCAGAACATGCCATTCACACGCCACTCAAAAAATGATCGCTTGAGGCTTTGGGTCTTCTCTCAAAGCTCTTCGTTTGTCCTTCCAAGGGCGCCCGTGTTTGTGCAGGCGTGGGAAGGGCTGGATCCCCGAACGAAGTGGAGCTATGGGAAAGCCATGACTTGGGGACTTTCCTTTGCCATGTTTGATTGCGGGGTACTAAGTATCCAAAAAAAAATATGTGTTGTTTAGTAAAATCCAATTCTAAGATAAGTATTCTATTTCTTTGAAGTAAATTTATGAATCTTCAAATTCCATCTATATTCATATTCCATTCATATTAATATTATTGATTTATTCCCAAGTTTATAAACCACATTGAATCCCATTTAAATCCCACGAATTCCCACGAAATCCCCATTCTATTACCGAATGAATGCCCATGAAACCAGCATGAAATCCTGCTGTGTTTCCCGTTAAATCACTATTACCCGTTGGTTATTTAACAGTAGCGAACTGGAAAATCACCATTTTTAATTGGTACATCATCTATTTCTATGGGTCATGGCTTCCATAGCTATGTAACAAATAACCAGAGGGTAACTCATATTACCTCATATTAACTCTGATTTGTGGTTTGGAACATGTTTTTTTCCATATATTGGGAATGTCATCATCCCAACTGACGAACTCATATTTTTCAGAGGGGTAGGTATACCACCAACCAGTCATATGAACTCCATGAAATCCCCCATCGAAACGCGTCGCCCAGGTCTCCTCTTGGCCAACGCCCTGTGCCATGCACAGCTGGGCGATCGTGAGCGCGAAGCACAGGCGGCGCAGGGCTTGCGACAGCTCACGGAGGCGGCGTTTCGGTGGGCGGTGTTCAGTAGATGATTGCTGGCTGCTTTTTCCCGTAGAAAACCTAGGAAAAACCAAGGAAAATGATGGGTTTTTCATGGATTTAGTGGAAACTAGTGGTAAATTAACGCAGGCGGCTTCGGTGCGGTTGAACGTGGCTGTTGATAACTGGTCAATAATGGTGGACTTTAACCATCAAATCTATTAACAGTGGTTAATGTTAATTGTTCATAAATGGTGAATTCATGTTGTAAACATCCATTGACCATGAAATCTATGAACCATCTATGAGCCATCTATAAATCATCTATGAACCATCTATTATATCTATGGGAGGAAGAAATATTTATCTACTCTAAAAGATTGTTAATAGATGCAACATATGGATGATAAATGAATTATCACCAATAGAGAGTTGGTAAATAGATGGTTAATAGATTCTAAAAACCATTTAACGATAGATTGATATGATAGATGGTTAATTCCCAATAGAAAGTTAAATAGTGGTTAATCAATGGCTATTTAATGTTGATAGTATGGATTAATATGGTGATTTCCATGGGGATTTGCTGAGTGGAGGATTGGGCTCCCGGATTCAATGGGATCATGTGGGATCCACCCCATGCCACCATGCCACAGGGGATGATTTGTAGCCCATGGTGATTTTTCTGGTGACAAATCATCCCCTGGGGATATTGTGATAATAGCAGTGATGTTTATAAACCTTATAAAATAGCAATATCCCCTAGTGGTAAACTCACTCAGCCCAGGTTTATAAATGTTTATAGCAGTGAGTTTACCACTGATATTGCTGAAAGTCTGAAAGTCTGAAAGTACCTAAATCCGGTTGATCACCGTTGTTCCTAAAAACAAAAAAAATGGGGTAGATGTTCAGACATACCTCTATGAGATGGGGATGAACCCACCCATTTTATGCTGATCTTTTATGGGATTCATCAACAACGGGGGGGATTCATAAGATTTAGAGCACAATTGCGATGGGGGATTTGACCAACATGAATTGACTAGCCATACCACGGCATCATTGAGGATTCAACCAAGAACGGAAGGGTCTCTTCCAAGACTAGTTGATTGGTCAACCCACTATAGATCCATTTGTTTTCTGTGGACCTAGTTATATACCAACTTACCAAGCTTAACTTGCCATGTGAGTAGCAAGTTATATCACGTTTTTGGGTCTAACCACTGGATCCTGAATCAATCAGGGTTAACATTTGGGTTTGCTGGTTGCTGTTTATTGCAGCCAGCAAGAAGAGGGTGCAAAAGTTAATTTTCCACAATGAAGACTAGTAGCCATAAATGGCCAATAGTCATAAACTGCCATAGTAACAGAACCATTCCCAATTACCAGCCACATTCATAATTCAAGTCCATCCCAATTGACATCTCCAACCTTGGGTAGTTTAATCCTTGTGTTTTTTGCTGTGAATGGTAATTTTAACAATCACCGGCAAAAGATTAGTTTGTTTTTTGGACCTCAAAGATTGACCCGTTGTGAAGACACTCCAAGAATCCCAATGGCTGTTCCGATATGTGGGAAAAGCAAGCGGCTGCAACCCTCCGCCTAACAGGCCCGGGCTCAATTGAGCGCAGGTACAGTTGTGTAATCAATCTTCATTGTCATTTGCGTTTTTATCTTTATCTTCTTCATTTTCCTCATGAGGAGCATGGTCACCATCATTGTCGCAATCATCATCATTGCGGTAGCCATCATCATCGTCGTCATCGTCATCATCACGTCCTGCTTCCGAAAATCTGCCAGGAGATGGCCTGCTGTGGTGAAAGTCAAGAGCCCGAAGACCAAGAAGTTAGGACCTTCGTGGCAGGCCGGGGAGGATGGAGGAACCCCAAAATTCATGGGGAGATACGCCTGGCAATTGGGCATCAATATATGGGGGGGTTCTTAACATGGGGGATCTCCAAAACCATAGGTTTCAATACTAAAATGGTCATCCATGACTTGGATGATTTGGGGGTACCCCCATGACTTAGGAAACCTCCATATGGGGAGTTGACGGAAATATCAATGGATGAACCCTTTGGTAATTGTTCTTACACAATCTGGCCCGTTGAATTCGACCAGAGGCTATGCTTGAAGGTCAAGCCATTGACCAGTTGCATCCAGTGTGTACCATGTTGGTTCACCCAGATCATATAGGATACACCCCAGTTGGATTAGTGGGTTGATAGTCACTTGCCAACTGGGACCTAAAGAAGAACATACCAGGTGCCGTTATGACATAGTCCATACTGCTTGGAGTTAAAGCATGCCAGCTTGGTGTTGTGAGCAAGATGGCTTTGTCTGAAAATAGGGTTAATATTATCGGTATATTTCTAAATCCACTGATTAATCATCATATCCCCTACCCTCTGGTAAACTAACATAGCTATAGAAAACACCATTTTTAGTAGGTAAACCATCTATAAATGGACCATTTTCCGTAGCTATGTTAGTTTACCAGAGGGTAGTACCCCCTATTAAATCACCACTATTGGGGCTACACCACCATTGATGCCTCCATCCCTGGAGGTTTGGGCCAAAGTGCCGAACGTTTCACGCGGATTCTGACGCTTGGTGGCAGTACAAATTTGATGAGTTTTGTTTAAATGTGGGGAAACTCATATAAGGGTGGTGATTTTTTTGCCATTTATCCAGATAGATTATGGTTAATATATGGTTCCTAAATGGTTCATATATGGGGAATGGCTAATGTATGGGGGATCATCTCAAATTTGCCGTAAACTCTTCTGGGTAAGTACCTGCCACTCGAATTGCATTGGTGTGCCAGAGGCATGAAGGTAGCTCTCAGTAGTTTCCCCCTGTCAATTTGGAAAGGACTACCTTGTTGGTAAATACAACCTCTTTTGAAGTTCATACTTCTTTCATCCCAGAAGCGCCAAACGTTTCAGGTTGGTGAATTCCAGCAATCCATAGCATTCATAGGCAGTAAAATTCCACAGATGGGTCCATAGTCCACAGTAGCCCCCATTGTTCCCATTGCATCACATGTATTTTCAACCCATGAATTCCAATGTTTATGGGATATACAACCATGATATGTCATCTAGTAGTCCCAAAAAAGAAGATGCGGAAAAGTATGAGGTAATTCCGGTTTATCACTATTTTCGTAGCATTTTTTACTGTTCTATCTTTTTTTGGTGTTCCTATGGTGTAAAATCTCCCTCGGTGGGACGACCAGGACTTGTGCCCAAGCACCGTGGCAACAGCACCATGGGCAGCTCCCGGATGAGGCGCTGGCACAGCACCCTGTGGATGTTTGGGATAGGGAAGATCTACATATTTCAATATGTATAGTGATATTGTGTGTGTGTGTTTCAATGAATCTCAACATCGCGATTATCAAGATATATTATATTATAATACTGTATGAATTATTGTTTTCTTTGGATAGTTTAGCTCGTATTCACCCGAGAGATTCTATAGAACCCATTCCGTTGATCCGATGTCATCCAGTTGCGGCCGAAGATACATCCACCGGCCATGTCAATGTGTACTTGGGGGTTGGAGTTCTCTTACTGAGAAATTGGATTCCTGGCATTTCCTGGCCATATTCTCAGTGTCACTATTGTGTGATGATTGAACTATTTCCAACTCAACTGGCCATATTCTCTTGGCAGTCATAAATAAGAGACCTCACAGCATCATTTCCTGTGTGAAATTGCCACAGTTGAGAGTAGATGCCCATGATCAGACACACCCTGATATCAAGTGGCTGATATACAGCAAATCTCCCCATGGTATCCCCAATATGTGACCACTATCTCAGTATATCTCAATTATATCATATCCAATTATTTTTTTCATATTCTGCTTGATTTCATCCTCATTGTCGCCTAAGAATCCTCAATCCCAAATCGCAGTGACCACCTTCACAGGAGCACCCTTTGTGGGCCGGTGCCACCTTCAGCCTGTGGTGTTTGCTGCGGATGCGGCCAGACCCTGCCAGGTGTGGTCCCGTGATAAAGGGCGTAGAAAATTGGCAACGAAAATGGGATTGAAACCAACCAGAAGATGAAAAATCATAGGCATATAGTGGTATACTATGGGATTTGGGGATTTTGCATGGTATAAGTGGGATATTGGGACATCGTGGGGATATTTTCAGGAGACCAAGTTGATCATCCAAAATCTGTGCTTTGCTCAGTTGATTTCAACGGCAACCAGAGACATGCAACGGCGGGACAAAAATGAGGATTTAACCAACAAAAATGGTGGGTAAATCAACTAAAATGGTTATATCATAGGATATGTAACCAACAATATGGCAATAAAACACACCATTTTATGGGCGTATCATGGGGATGTAGTGGGGTAGAGTTAGTGGATATGAATAGTCTGGTTGAGAGTTTGCTTTATTGAATTGGGAATTTTGCCAACAAACATAGGGTGTGTAATCAACCACAGTATACCACAAGGATGATATATTCCAGATGTAGTGGAGTGTGAATGAGATTTATATAACCAAGAACTTGATATGGGTGCTTGAGAATTGTTACCCCAAGACAACCATGTTGTGGAAAAAGAAATTATCATCAAATCTTGGGGTACCCATTTTCCGTCGTCATGTCATGCGGATTTCTGGAGGTATGTCTGAACATGTCACCCCCAGAAACTTTGCAGCCATGTGATAATTTGGTCAACAAACCCGTTGCAAAGATATATGTCGGCCTATTTTGTGATCATACAATATATGCATATATAGTATTATATAATTATATACCATGGATATCCATTCGTTATATCATGTATCTCCATGATGTTGTTGCTTTTTCATGTTGTTTCATCGCCTCTCACAACGGCTGTCAGGCTTGCAGATCTCCGACCCGCCTTGCCTGCAGTGGCACAGGATGGCCGGGGAGCGTTGTTGGAATCCTCATTGAATACTAACATTGATGATCTGGGGGGTGGATATTATATGGCTTTATAATAGGATCATATGTGCTGAAAAATGGATTGATGATCTGGTTGGTGGTGACTGGAACCATGGAATTTTGAATGACTGTCCCATTTTTGTCGGGAATTTCATCATCCCAACTGACGTTCGCATATTTTTCAGAGGGGTGGCTCAACCACCAACCAGTAACATTGATGATAATACTACTATATTGATCATAATACTATAACTGTACTCTTTGGCAATCAGCTCCATGGCTTGCTGGAAAATCCCCGAGAAATTCTTCGATGATTGTCAGAGCTAAAATAAACCTCCATTTATCGGAGATTTCCCAGCTAGCCATGTTTGGTTGCAAGAGGGCAAGTACCTATATATAATACTAGTATTCCTACTTGCATATCCAAAAAGATTGTAATACATAAGTTTGATATATATATGTATATACTATTGGTAATCCAGGTTAATTTACAAATTGTAATACCGATGTACTATAATATTATGCAATGAATGGATTCTACATTCCCATGTATCTGATTATCGAAGCCGCAAAGCTACGATCTACCCCTGTTTGTGGATGATTAGTGGGATTATACTAACCAATGAATATTGGGGAATAGTGAACACTGCTCATTTTAAGATAGAGATTCGCAAAAAATATGTCTCGATGTCTATTTCCGTGCAAAACACAATCATGGTAAACCTTAGATTGGTTCAAGGGAAATTTCCCAGGAAACCTCTACCTTTGATGGTAAAAACCATGGTTTCCTGTAGATTTTCCTAAACCAATCCATGTCTCAATGTCTTGCCCTTCTCTACATCTGTTTTCAGGGCGGTCCACCACGCGCCCGGTGGCTGGCGGGAGAGTTGCTTCTTCAACTGCAGCTGCAGGTCCCGATGACTCAGTCAACCAGGTGACGAAGATTTCATCAGGACCAAAATAGTGGGTTTAATCAACAAAAAAGTGGGAAAGCTTGGTGATGGCCACTTTAATATTGTTTTTTCTTGTTTGGGATAGTAATCCTAACCAGCTATTTTTTTGGGTATTAAAGACTAGCCATGTCAAAAGTTGGTGAAAGATGGGTCCAAAACTCCACCACTCCACCAGGTGTCGGCACAGCTGCCATCTCCAAATTCGGAAGCCATCGTGGAGATGAACATCCAGGACACTTCGATGGCTTTCCCGGATCCTATGGGTGAAAACTGTCCATAAGCACATCCCCTCCGCTGCCATGACTCGCCTTGATTTTTCCTCAGGTGTACCCGGCCTGGTAAACGTTTACATAACTATGGAAAATCACCATAACTATCATGGGAACATTCACTATTTCTATGGTGATTTTCCATAGTTATTTTGACATAACCAGAGGGTAATTGAAAAATTTGGAAAAGGTCATCCAGTTGGTTGCATCGTCCGCCCAGGAACGCGGCGCCTTGGAGTTTGCCCTTCAGGAGATGTTTGAGCAGCTCAGCCCAGTTGTAGGTGGTTTGTATACCAGTTATGGGGGTAAATCGACCCTGATATGCGGGATGTTGATGTGTGTGGGACCTATGGGACATGCAAACAATAAAACATGGATTTGGGTTTGGAGCTTCCAGATGCTGGAGAGCTGCAGCAGTTGGTGGGAAATCTGACAGCTAATGCCACGTCATGTTCTGTCAAATCCTCGTTTCGATTGCCAAGAAAGCTTTAGACTTAGGCGAACCCTAGTTGAAGGAATGTTACCGACAGCCCAATGGGGCCCTTTTTGACAGCCAGAGAAACGCCTTGCACAAAGTGCCCAAAGTCATGGCCATCCAAGGCACACTCGAAGCGGTTTACATTCGCAGCTCAGTGAGAGCTCACAGGTGCTATAGCGCCATTGCTGGAACTGTTGAAGCACCAAAATTGGCAACGAAGAAGAAATAAGGGATACTCATGGGATAATAAGCACTTTTGAAAGACTAGAAAAATTTAATTTCACACAATGGATTGATACAACATTCCCAAGCGCCAAAGCGCCAGGTCATCGAAACGCAGCAAAGGTTGATCGAAGAACGACAACAGCCTGAAAGCCTAGAAGAGCCCAATATCTGCCGATTTCACCCCATGCGCTGTTTAATTGGGGGGGGTCCATTCAAGTTCTTTGAAGGGAACCCCTTGATTAATCCACCAGAGCCAACGTTAATCCAGAGTTGACACCAGCGATTGAGGATTTCTTCCAGGAGATAGTTACTGTCTGCACAAACCTTTGAGATTGAGAGAAGGGCTTTGAAGAGTTTTTCCAAGGCCTCAAGGCCTCATACTTTCCGAGTTTCCAGCTCGATGTTTTGATCTCTACCTCCGGGCCAGAGCCCAGGCCCTTGCCCATTGCTTCAAATGTGCTGAGCTAAGCCCCCCAAATGGACCTAGCAATTTAGGGAGCATCATTGCCGCACGTGGTTCCTTTCAAAAAAAAAATAGGATCTTTGCATATATTTGCAAGATGGAGATATTGCTTTGGGAATCGGGCATTGAGATGTCAACTTTGGACATGAAGTGACAAACAGCACAGCCAGTTGCTTCCACTGAGGGCAGCACATCCGATGGTTGGCACCAACCCTTGGAGGCTTTGGGACGGGAACATTGGCCATTACCTTCGGATAACAATGGTTGGAAATGTGTTTGGTAGCGGCTTTGAGGTGTTTTTTTGGGATTTTTGTTTGATCCGGGGTTGAAAAGCAGGATTCGCTTCAGATTGACAGTCTCTGTCAGTTGTCGGGTGAAGCCTGCGGGGACTTTGCAGGGCCTGTTTGACATGTGTGTTTCGGTTTGAAGTGCTGGGGAGATCACAGGTGGGTTTGTTTTAAAACGGTGTATCCCCAAATTTGATGGTTGACCCAAGGATGTCAGCGCCAAATGCTTGATGATTTATCCCTTTTTTCATGGGCCCCCAATGATGCTGATGGTTATCTTAGAGTTAGTTTGCCCTATTGTTGCTAATTTTTCATCCCCGTCTTTGTCGGCTAAAGGCCATAAAACTGACCCCATGTTCGTGCTGAAAAGTATCCCATTAGTTCGAATGATATCCCATTCTGATTGGTTTTGTACGCCCAGTTTTTGGACAAACCCCTTCCTCACGTTACCATGGCAGGCGACCCTTGCGAAGCTGAAAACGAGCCGGCAGGAGCTGAGCGGTGCGTAGGGAAGCGCAGGACGTTCCCGACTTCGATGGAGTGTTCAAACCCCTGGTTGATGATTAGTTGGGGGATCAAAAACTACCCAGTAAGATCCAGTAAGTATATTTATTGGGAATTTTATTGTCCAATGGGGGAATCCCGTTAACCGTTAACCAGGATTAAATGGAAAGACAGGTTTTGAACACTAGCCGTGATGGCTCAGAACGTTCCAGCCGCGTCCGGCTGTTGCGACTAATTTGGGCCGAGTAGTTTACCTTTTCTTTGGGCAATGGAGTGGGGTATCAACCTTCACACTGAAGGCCCCTATGTAGGCCTGCCACAATATGAGCCATCCCTTTTGTCTTCTCCCGAAGGACGTCGAGTCTCTCTGGTAGCAACAGTTGAAGTCAGGGACAAAGCCTCCGGTTGGGGTCATATGTGCAGAGGCATTCTCACTGGACAAAGGTTTAGGCTACAAGCAGATGTTCCTCCTGGCGTTTTTAAAATCACAATTTTGGGTGCCAGACTTACTCATCTGAGAGGGCCAGTTCTCAAGGCTGATGATGGAGCCGCCATCCTACATCACCGACAGAAAGACCTTTCCCATCTGTTTCAGCTAATCGAAACATGTTCTGGATTTGGAGCACTTGGAGATGGTGCCAAACATGCAGGGTGGAAGACAGTGGTTCACAATGATTGTATGAACTCGTTCTGCAACCACCTCCAGTCCCATAGCAAAGTTCCAGTAGTTCTAGGAGATATCGGTAAGCTTGAGACAGTTGCCAAGATCCATGAAGCAGCCCCGTATGCAGCAAGTATTGCCTTTGGATTCTCATGCCAGCCGTTTTCACGTGCAGGGGATAGGAAGGAAGGGCAAGATGACCGGGCCAAATCTCTTCCTTTTGGTCTATACGCTGCTTACCTGCTCCAGTTAGATCTAGTAGTCACAGAATGCGTCCCAGAAGCAAGCACGTCTCCGTATGTCCTCAAATGTCTACAGCAGTATATGCAGATGACGAATAGTGATCGATCAGAAACCTTGATGGAACTGGCCCATGTATGGCCATCTCGTCGCAGACGATGGTGGTCGATCCTTCTCAAGAGCTATATGGGTAAGGTCTCTATACCGCCTTTTCCAAGGTTAAAGATCGTCCCCAGTATTGCATGCCTTTTTCCATGTTTGATGTCCATGACGTCAGCAGAGCTGCAAGAGCTTACCCTCAGCACTGAAGAACGCATGATGTTTGAGAAATATGGAAAAGGCCTAGGTGGACATATGGTCAATTTTGCCGAACCACTTCCTACCGCTTTACACAGTTGGGGAAACCAATGTTTAGCATGTGCGTGTGGATGCAGGGGTCCTTTATCAGTCCATAGGTTGCAGTCTCAGGGGTTATTTGGTGTTTTGGCCCATGTACCAGGTCAGACACCAGACCAGAACGTCCGTCACTTGTCAGGCAGAGAGATGGCATTGCTGACAGGTTTTCCTAAGGATGAAGGATGGACGGACCACCAGAGGCTTCTAACTGCTGGAGTAGGACAACTGGCCTCGCCCATGCAGGCAGTGTGGGTATTTGCCGCCGTTTTCAACCATCTCATTGACCATGGATTTTGCTTAGGTGATTCCATTCCTCCACAACAGCTACTAGCTTGTGTAGCTATGGATGTGTTCAAACTGCGAGATGAATGGTTTGGCAACAATCGCACTGTCGCCATGGACATGTTTCAGGAACAATTTGAGCTTTTTCTGGAGCCGCAAGGGGCCAACCAAAGCGCAGGATCCTTCCAGGACCTAACCATGAGTCAAGATGATGATATATTGCCAGGACAATTGACTCAATCGAAGCGGCTGTTCAGGACACGACTACTCATCCATGTCCACCCAAATTGGAGCCCCAGAAATGTGATGTCAACTCTGAGCCCCAGCACACAATCGCAGAGGAGGACATTTCGTGCAAGCCTCCGCTTCCCAAAGACTCAACCGAAGTACCCATAGGTGCCGCTCAGCAACCGGGCAAGACTGAGTCGTCCACCAAGGACCCAGCCGATACCAGTCTCACCAGCATGAACCTCGCAGGTCAAGTGTCACCACGTAGTTTCACTAATGGTTGTAGCAATGCGCAAAGCCAGCCCTCGTCATCCATTTCTCACCAAGGTCATGCAGATAAGACAGTTTCACACGATAGTCTCACAAACCAAGGCTCGTCATTGCCAGTAATACCAGCCACACCAATGTGGACAGCCTCCGGTGCCATTTCAGCTTTTGCCACATGCCCTGAAAAGATGTCATCCATCCCGAAGAGCATAGGTAAGAATGGGCCAACATCAGAAAGCTCAGTGCAAGCTATGCCAATCCCGTTGACACCCTCACCAGCCGAGATCGCCACGACCGGCATCATGATATATGATGCCGACCATCATTTGATCTCGCATCAGAAATGCTCGCCTCAGGCAACGTATGCTCAGTGGCTTGCAGCCAATCAGGAGATTGATCAACAGGTAGGCCAATGTTATGACATTTTCGGAGGTTCCATCCATCCAGACACGGAGCTCATACACCTTAAGTGGATCGTAGTTGCTCAGGCCCCATTGGAAATTCATCAGATGAGTTTGCAAGATCGCATGTGTAGTTTAACATCATTTCCTCGCATTGAATCTTCATTGTTGCAGGGACCTTCCGTTGCTTCTGATGAGATGATGTTTTATCTTACAGCGATTGCCACCGTTGGTCTTGCTAAAGCGAAGCCGCCGTTCATCATTGATGGCATGACAGATTTGTTAGTCGATGCCCAGACATGGATTGAAGGCCTTGATCAAGTGAACCTCCATAATGAGCAGCAACTAACCTCTTTGGCAAAGCAGTGGATTCATCACCATCCGGCTCAGGAGGCCACAGTGTCAGCCCTCTGGACCAATTATCATTGGATTCCTGTATGGATTGTTCCTAAGTCTGATGAACTGATTGTTCACACCACTGCCGAAGGAGTTCGAATCTGGGAGATGCTTTTCCCTTGGTGGTCCAGCACAATTAAGGTGCATGAAGAATTGCCTCAGGTTTTTCCCATGGATTGTGGTTTCCGTACTTTTGCATGGCTCGTAGGACAGTGTACTCACACCTCCGTTAAGTCCCTCACACTTAGTGAAGCATGGGGTTGGCGTAATTTGTTCTGGCAAACATTGGTTACTATTCCTCGCCTTTCTCACCGATTTGTCTTGGGAGGGCAAAGCGAAATCGAGGTGGCCATCCAAGCAATCTTGCGAGAGCATGGAGTTTTCCCAAGTAGATTGCCTGAACGTACTGCACAACTGATTAAAGCATGTTCTGCCCAGTCACTAGCTGCAGTGTTTCATGCAAGTCGCCCATGGCAAGCCCTTAAACAATTAGCCTCGAGTGCCAAACCTCCCATCAGGCTTGTCCTAGAGGATGAACTCCAGACGACGATCAAGGCCAGGACAGCTGATAAAAAATCTGTGCAAGCCAAAGCCAAGGCATCTCAGGTAAATCAGCTCCAGCATCATGTTGGCCCTGAGGACATCGTGATACCACATGGAATATTCTGCCTCCAAACAGGTGAACCAATTGCGCAGATTAGTCCCCAGCAGCTTGGCCAAATCACGCATGGAATCGTTGCTTTCACAGAGAGAGAAGTTCAGCCATACTTGCAGCATGCTCCCACCGCTGCTGCAGGAGTTGCTTTTCTTGTCCTCTCTCCATATTCAGAAGCCATTGCACAGCAAGGCCAGGTAGTCCGTTTTCCAGTTCAGAGCAAGCTTACATCGGAACCCATGCTGGTCTCTGCCGTCCTGCTGCAGCGGGGTTCCATCCAGGTAATCAGGAATATGCCTGCGCAACCACCGGCAGTCGAACAGGTAGCCACTCAAACCATTAAATGCCTTTTGTATAGGGACCAGCTCCAAGACCAATGGCAGACTGTGCTGCAAGCTCCCGTCAAATATATAATTGGCATGGCAGACTTCTTGCAAGTGTGCAAGGTCACTGAATGCTCCTGTACGAAGTGGCACCCGAATCACCAGCAATCGGACACCCCGATTCTAGATGTGTGGCAGAGAGATTTTCTCTCTGTGCACTTCCAAAAAATCAGGCCAGTGGACGCTCAAATATACACAGTGGCCATGCGAGTGACCGCTGACACATACAGTGAGCTGTTCAAGTTCTCTGGCACGGGAGGCTTGTACATAGAGCCTAGGACTGATGACGGTCGCAGCCAAGACCCCAGATACCAGACCATCTGGGTACCACGCCAACCGATCACTGAGGTCAAGGCTCTCCAGGCAGTGCAAACCAACCCAGTTTCCCTGATTAGGGTTGGATTCAGGTATGGTCTCAAGGTTCATAATGAAGTTGCTGAAAGCGTGCATGCTCAAATCAACCCTAATGAGCCGTACATTGCGGGATCAAGCAGGACACCTTACAGAGTTGGACCTTTTCCATGGGGCACCACTAAAAAGGCAATTCAACAATTGTTCCACCAGTGGAACTGGCAGGCCAGGCCCATTCACACCATTGCCAAAGCAAAAGACTCTAGTGGACTTATGTGGCTGGTTCATGCGGCGTGCCCGCCTGCAAGCTTGGTCTTTCAATTGCAGCATGGCGATGTGGTCATACATCAAGAGTCCCCAGCTTCCAAGGAGCCATGGCGACCACCTCAAGCGCAGGCATCCTCTGGTGAGTTCAAGGATAAAAAGGAAGCGGACTTTGACCCATGGGCTGAAGCGGCTAGAAACCTCCCTCGCAATGAAGGAGTTTCTCAGGCTCAGCTGGCCACGCTTGAGGCAAACCTGGAACAAAAGCTGTCCAAGAAGTTCCATAATGCAGAGGAGAATGATGTTGCTATGGCTGCTCCCCCTGAGCCCCGAGTAGCTCAGTTGGAACAACAGCTAGCCGCATTGCAGACGCGATCTGGAGTCATTGAGTCGAAGGTCGACTATGTTCACCAACAGGTCGAGCAACAATCGACCAAATTTGAGGCTGCTTTAGATTCGAAATTGTCCGACCAAATG